AGGACGACGTCCTAGACTACAATTTATCCTCCAAAGGGCCGACTCCTGAACAGCTCAAAGTGCTGGGTCACGAAGCCTGCTTCAGTGCGATAGATGCTGATCCGGCCAACCTCGCGGCCACAGTATAACCACTTCTCAGACAAACTGGGGAATCCGACGAAACAAAACATCTCGTTCGGCAAAAGGTAACTGCCTCGACGATGGCATACAAATCATACACAATTATCATCAGAGCGGAAGAGGATTCTCTCGAGAGACTGAGGGCCATCACGGGCATTGTGATATCGCCAACAGCCAAAGGGCATTCTACAGTTGTCTTGGCTAAAACCGAGTACATTCAAAAGTCTAGCAGCCTGCTAGTGGGTCGACAGGCGTACCTCCGATGGGATGATGAACCAGTGAGGAGGCAGGTGACGCAGCTGGACAAAACACTCGACGAACTGCAGACAAACAAAGTAATAAGCAAGTCGGTACGACTGGCCATTAAACTAAAAGACGCGGCCGCACCAAGGTTTTACGGAATACTAAAAGTACATAAAGCCGGTGTCCCTCTGGCCAATCTTGGCATTGCGGGGCGCAACAACATTTAATTTGATTATATGGGTGTTCCACAGCCTGAGATCTCTCACCTCGGAGGCGGCCACGACGGTCTGCTCAGCGACTGAGTTCCTGGAGCGGCCCGATGGGGACGAGACACACTGAAGATGAGGTCATGGCGTCATTCAACGACATCTCTCTTCACTTCGATTCCACAGGACTTAGCAGTCGAAACGGTCAACAAGCTGCTCGGGAGTTAATACGACGAGACGGGCGTGATGGTAAAACGAAGACATCTCGTCCAACTACTGGAATTCTGTCTGAAGACGTATCACACCTTCGAAGGTGCAAACTAAGAGCAGGCCAAGGAGATGCCAATGGGATCGCCGCTCTCGGGCTTCACCGCAGAGGCTGGTTTTATGACGAAGCAGTCATCAGCAACCTACTTGCCGAAAATTACGGACTGCACAAAGCCCGTATCAGACGTCGAACCCACGCAAACATAGCGACCATTTTCAGATATCGCTGCCTTATGCAGCAACGACTGCGGGAGTGGCAGAACGCCTGGATGAATATCAAAACCGAGAAAATCCAAAGGCACGCGGGCCGCATCATCTCTACCACAACCCCCCGCGACGACGACTGCACCTCTCCCAATCCCACCGCCGATGAGACAGCCTCGACGTCCAGTCAACCACAACCCTCACCATCGCCAACAATTTGGATGCAACCCCAACCCGTCCCCATTGTGATCCTACCATCTCACGCATTCGCTTAGTCGGTCACTTGCGAATCCATCGTACAAAGACTGGCAAACCAGTTCCAGAATCCCCAGCGTGCACCCGTCGCCATCGCCTCAACTGCCCGCATTGCCCACGCTTGGGCCTACTCGATCACATGTGTACATACAACAGCGAAAGTCATTGCAGTATCGATATACTTAACACACCTAGCATACCCTTCCCACCTCCGGACTTATCAACTTCCAATCGAGCAGCGTCCACTACTTGGAGCACCAAAGCAGCCGATCCAACATCCCCCAATCTATCTTGCCCACAATGCCACCGCACGTCCACCACACGTAACGGCGTGACCGGTCACTAACAAACCCATCGCACGGAGACTGGGGGACCGACAGTTCAACCGTCGTTGCCGACAATGTCCACCGTGTGCTCCACAGTGAGGTGGAGCGGGGAAGGGGACCTGTGCGTGAACTAGTTTAAAGTGAATGCAAGCTTGCATGGCATCTATCGCACTCTCTCCTCCCCCACCTGGACCCGGTGTCAAGAAAGAGTCAAGAAGACCGGAGAAAGAAGAGGGCGCAGGTGGATGGCACGCTCGAGCACGTACCTTGGCGCTCCACTCCACACCCCCTGGTCCACACAACAAATGACCAGGTTTTAGACCAACAAAAACAATGGGGGGGGGGCTTCAGCGTGCGCGACATCTGCCGGCAACCCCGAAATGTTGGCATTTTTTATGGTGTGCAATCCGATAACGCCTGCCAGAATCCGATATGGCTGCCTTGTTGGTCCAGCACATCTACCACGTAGTCCGTTTTGGGGGCATAACCGGCGAACCAGTGCCTGGAGCACCGACACACGCCAGACCCCATCGCTCCAATTGCCCGCACTGGCCTCACACATTCAGCCATCGCATGGGTCTAAAAGACCACATGCGCCTCTATAAAAACCTGCGGCAGAACATCGCCGTCTACGACATACCCCCACTTCTCTCCACACCAGTACCTGCAACACACATTCACACATCCAACATCGCACAACGAAAGCACATAATTGACACCTTGCATGTAGGTAGGAAGTGGGTTACTCGGCTGCATGTGTGATCTGAGTCTGAGACTATCACGATGACCCGAGCGCCATGGCTTGGAAGGTTGTCAACTAATTATGGAAATCATATCTTGGAGTTAGCCCAGTGTGTTTGTGCGGAGTGGTCGACGGGTGGGCTGGGAGGAGAGCTGTAATGGCCCCTTCTCAATCTGGCCACTATGGCACCCCCATTCCGTGGGATCCGAGCCTCCCCACTTTCTTTCTTGGTGTAAAATCCTGATCAGTGTACGTTGTGGACCAAGAGATGTGGCGGTACGCCTAGGTGCGAACTTACGTCATGACAGCCGGCTGCGCCTTCCGCCGCCTCCGATCTTCTTGACACCGGGGCCAGGTGGGTGAGAATGAGACAGCAGCGAAAGTCTACTGTCATTACAAACTAACTCATGTGCAAGTCACTGTCTCTGTGTCCATCCTGCTGTGGGGCGCGCGGTTAGCATCGCCGGAAACAACGGTTAAACTGTAGTACGGGCAACGTCTAGGTTAGTGGTTTCACGCGTTCCAGTTTATCTTGCTCTCTCGATCCTTTAGGACTCATGGCTGTCTGATTACCTCAACGGACATCTGCTCCTCCCTTGAAAGGTTGCAACTATCCCGGAGTTCTCGCTTCCAGGCCCCAAGGACAGCAGATTGCGGGCATAGTCGATTTCCATCGCCGATTCATCTTGAACTGTGGGGAAAACAATCTCTCCACTTGTGAGCTTTCTCAGCATTCCCGGGGATTGTTCGAGCTGTCCACCGAAATGCTCCGTCGTCTCCTGAGACGTAATCCTGCGCTAAATACACCCTTCCCTCCTATGACTGATGCCGACAGTGGTGCCATTCGCGAAGTACTTCAATAGCAACTCGTATCTGGCCCATTCGCTGACTGAGGCACGCTACAGCAACGTAAACGAGGGACTCGCCGTTTATTTCATACAGGGTTACCAGGAACTTCTCGAAGGCGGATTTGTGACTTCCTCCTACCAAAACCCTCTAACCTTAGGCATGCGGTCCCATTCAGAAAGATTGCACTCCCAAGAGACACAAAACCCGAGTTGAAACTACTGGCCCATCCCAGGCATCCGTTATTTCCACGAAACGTGGAAGAGACAACGCCCGCGTCCTCTACCACCACACCGCAACCGCCTCCAGAGATAAACCTAAGCGCAGTGGCGGCCGAACAAAAAATACCACCTGCTCCCAATTCCTGGTTCTTCCACTTCTCAATGACGATGGCGCAATTCTCGGCGACGTCTTCACCTCCATCAACCGCCCCTTTCCGCTTAAATCCCTTTGCCGAAGTGTTTTTATCCCGCCTTGCCTGACCTCTCCCACCCACCGAGTCGGGTCACTGACAAGTTAGTCATAAACCGGCGGACACAAGTGCCGCTGTGCTTGGACCTGGGAGTGTGTAGGCTGCCAGAAGAGCAAGGGTGATCAGTGCAAGGTAGACCCCGGCATTTCCCTCGACGAGGCACTCCCTTCTGGACATTGCATGACTCTGCTCCCGTCGAACAGCTGTTTCTTTATACCGGATAACATCAATCAGGTCGGCCAGTGGCGTGAGGTATCTAACTACCGGTCGTGAGTGTGACAGTCGTAGTCGAAACACTTTTCAGTAGCTTGGTAACTACGCACGACCACGACTGATTGCAGTGCCCAGTCTGAGTTCCAACTCCGCCAGTCAGTTTTCAATTTCTTGAACTTTATCCGGACTTGGATGACTGGCTACCGTTCGGCTGCCAAAAGGACGGCCGGTGGTTTCGCCAGGAGATAAATGGTCATCCCAGTTACTACCGACGTAAAGTGGAAACAACTGTCCCATCATGACCATATGAAGGTGTAGTGCTAGCACAGGCTGCTGGGTATCTGCACTGGGCTCCCTGAGGTAAACAAAATACGGTGTATAATTTTCTTAACTTTGTTGATGAAGTGCGGTCGACGTAATTTAGGTCACGGAGAGATTGCCGTCTGTTTAGGGCTCACACGAATAAACAAAGTAAAAAGCACCTAAATCTCTGTGCCGGACAATAATAGACAAGGAAAAGTCACGTGCGTAAGTCTATGAAGTCGAGATGCCCAACAAAATTATAGTAGTGATGTCTGCGCAAATGTGGTACTGGTTAAACTGTTATAACGTGCTTGCTAAAGTAGCATGACCCTACAGAGGCCCCGCTAACATAATGCAATGTGGATAAACCACCAGGTAAGCTTGATTGGAAATAATCTGGAAAAAATCCAGGTGACATCGGGAAGTGAGACGATAGGAAGTTATTGCGAAGTTTTGAGCTGTAAAAACTTGTATCGCAGTTTCCAATAAAGCAATTCGTCCGGAGGCACATGCGCCGGAGCCGCCGGTATGAACTAAAGTAGTCTTGCTCGCGAACAGAAGTCAAGAGTGAGGAGCTAACCCAAGCAGCTCTCCGGTGCTGGCGGGAAGTACAAGGCTGTCAACAAACTTTAAGCAAATCAGTACCTGTGACGACAACTAGGGCATGCACATATTTTTCAAACTGCAAAATTAAAAAGACGTACATACAATGGGAATGTCTTGATAGGCTACCGCAACCGATTAGACGGCTGATGTGCCTCAGTCTAGTTCATATACAAAACAAGAAGGAGTAATTCAAGTTATCAGCCCCAGCCGTTAGCTAGCAGCGGGAGCTGCTGTCCGGTTGTACTAAGCTGTGAGGACAAGTCAGCCGGAGCAGCGACATGAGGTAGAACCTGGCTTGGTGTATCTGACAGCGCTTCGGGGCTGGGCAACTTCAGAGAGGGTCGTTTCTTCGGCTCTGTTTCAATGGCGGCCGTCGTACTGATGGGGGACTTCCGACTTAATGCTGATAAAGCCGGAGGGTAGGGAGGCGAAGAGGGCGACAGAACTGGAGACTTGTCTGAGTCAGTGCGAATCACAGAAAAGTAGATTTTCATGGGGTGTTGGCGTCGCCATGAGTAGAGGCAAGCTAGGTCGGAGAGGGTGTAGTCGGGACTGAAGTAGTCGTCAGAGGAAAAAAACACGGCCACCTCGTGAAAGCCGGGCTTCAGTTCAAACTTGAGACGGATGAGCTTCTCCAGGTGGCCGATTGTGAGACCCGCAGGACAGAGTAGATAGGTCGTGTGGCCGGCAGTCAAACCAGGGGACAAACAGTCCGTTGTTGAGTCCCCGGTTCGCCAGTATTCCAGTTCCACACTCAGCCTCTCCTCTTCGTTCGGTTTGTAGGTATTGAGCGTTACGTCACCGCGTTTTTCGGGACTTAGTGATCGCCTCTCGGAAAATGGCAACTCTAAATTGAAAAAAGCCAGTCTAAGAGATGGAGAAAACTTTATACCATGACAGGTAGTGGTTTTGAATGCCTACTTTCAAAGTTACTACAGATATGGCATAAAAAGGCGAAAAATCTATATTGCCCTTAAAGGTGAACAAAATGGCCTTTCGTCGTCACCGACCGCGCAGCAACCTCTGGTTAAGAAAATAAGAGGTTTGAACGCTAGACAATAAATAACTGGGACTGAAGTCTAAAGCCTCAACAAAGAGCGACAAGCATGAGCATCGTTGAACATAATCAAGAACACTCGTGCTGGAAGTAGCATTTACAAGTGTGGAAAGATTACAGAATGGATCCTACGCATCCTCATAATGCGCCTTAGTCCTCTGGATAAGTAAAAATAACGGCAGAGTAAGATAATAGGGGGGATTTGTCAGGAGTTTTTGATGTATACACCGACTACGACTCGGTCAGCAGTCTGCCGGTCACTGACTAATGAAAAGCGACAGTAGACAATGCGCTTATTATGATAAGTCGACCTGTTTAAAAATTCTAAAAATATTTTAAGGGGAAAATACCCAAACATAAGACCGCGATCCGTGGTACGGCTTTATGGCAACCAACGGGCAGCGCAACCACTACTTTGTGATTCGAGTCAACGGGAAGAAAGTAGAACTCAATCGGGAAGCAAGGTGTGAATGCACAAGGTGAAACGTGAGAAGGTGCACTGACCCTGGTGCCCGGAATCTTACAGTACAGTCCTTACCAAAATAACATGGGTAGCAGAATCCTGCCGGAAATACAAATTAATACCCCATAGTCCTGGAAAATAAACTCCTGGAACCAACTCCTATTTTCCTATCTGCCACAGCAGTCCATGAGGCTTCTTTGGTAGACAATATGGCAGTAGCCCTTTCCGAAAAGGCGAAGGCCGTCTCGTTTGCGTAAGAGCCATTCCGTTAATGCCCGAGGTACGTCGGCTTGAGGAGACATTACGAACTTATCCTTCGTTTAGATCGGTTCACCTATATCAGCAAACGGCCTTCATGATAGAGGTACCCTCAACTAGCAGCTCTTTGTCGGTACTATCTCATAGAAATGTCTCTTAACCGCTGTCAGTGACTGGCGTGGCCAGGATGTGACAATTGAATCTTCGAGCTGGAATCTGGTCAGACCCTTCGGACTTTCTTGTTACACATGTATTCGGTACAGATACGATCATGTTTGATTTAGCCGGCTTCGATGATGTGCAGATCGCGCCTTTTCAGGCATTAAGATCCGCGGCAGAAGATGTGGGGCTTAATCCATTCTTTCTCTCCAGAGACAAGATCGAATCCCGGAGGTCCAGAAACCACTTCCATCTCTTGACAAACTGTGTCGAGCCAGTTTTTGAGTTGGCCTCATGTTAAACACCTCTAGGTGGGCAACGATGCTGAATCGAGGGCAGCAACATTCGGCTTAAGAGATATATGACGAGAGACTACCAAAATCACCTCGGACGTCCCTCTTGGATGGCCTGGGATATCCTTGCGTTGTCGCAGCGAGCACAGGCTGCTCCGTGCGAGACTAAGTCGGTGTACTTCACTCAACGGATAGTTTTCGGGTAGCAGCAGTCAGACGCCACCAGTTTCTGCTCATCTTGCACGTGCACAGCATAGCATTCACAGCCGTAGAGAACTGACCGAACGGACGCACGGTGCACGCGGATCTTTGTGGAGATGATGTCGCGCCTGATCTAGACACTTTCCAAGGATTGTGAAAATCGCGAACAGCATTGATTGGGTAGACGCTGTCGTCCTTACTCTGATCATTCTACGGCAGCCTCATTCCACGGAATTTTAAACTGTTCACTTCTTTAAGTTGACAGTCATTAACTCCGAGGGTGCCTTCTCCTGGCCACGGACGGAGGCTGACCTCGTCCGCAACACGACAATGATGAAAAGAATTGATTCACTGATGTCAACATAATCATCCAGCCAAGTCGCAAACAACAGTCGACGTACTGAATGACAGCAGCAAATGCTTACAGCTTAAGCCTTCAGTCAGTATTACCGGATAAACAGGACCAGGCTAGTGTCAAACGCACAGCACCAAAACGACATAATTTACCAAATCCATATTGTTCGACGGGTTTCCGCAGTAGCCAAATACTTTTGTGGAATCCTTGCTGTATCATATCGCACGTTTATCTCCCGGCAAACCTTTCCGGCGGACGTCCTAGCATGAACCAAGATTAACGACTAGTGCACTTGCATAATTATGATGGGCAAGAGTTTTGGTACCAGTTGAACTTCCTGGTTCTAGGCTCGACCTCTGGATGAATATCTTGCACTTAGGTAGCTGTGGCCAGAATAATTGAATTGACAGCGATTGAGGATTGTCATATCGCTTTGCCATCACCAACCGGTGACAGTGAATAAGGTAGACATCGCGCCAAATCCGAACCTTCAGAAAAGCGAGCAGCTTGAGGGGACCCACATGTGACAAAAGCTTATAAGCCTTATGCCAATTGATGACAGACAGGTCAGGCCTGATCAAAACTATGCGAGGTACAAGCAGGTCCAGACAAAATTGCTGCTGTTTGAATGGTGCTGCTACTTGGTCAAGTCCCTGTCAAATAATCTCACAGTTGGAAATGTTTAGAAGTCGTTCCAGTGTCCGCCAAAACTGAGTGTCAGAGGTTTTTGTTGTTTACACATTGATTCTATACATTCTTACTCCACTGCCATTCAACCGGCACGTATTTAAATTGCTGCGACGCACTGAGAGTTCTGGATTGGAGGTGTCCAAACTAGCCTGACCGTTGGCAACCAGTCAAAATGCGGCAGTGCTTCATAAGGTAGCTTTTACAGAAAATCCCCAAATGGCTATAAGAGTATAGAAAGTATAGTTTTCAAGAGAGATGTCAGTGGGGGTTGTAGGGCGGAATGAATTCTGGGCCGATCACTGAGAGCAGCAGGACACTCAGGTGTCTTAACTCTCATTTTCCATCAGAAAAAGTGGAAATGGGAAGGCGGATGGTCATGTCGCGCTGTAGCCTAATTTGCGCGCACGCGCATACTGACGGAAGATACATTTTGTCGAAAAAAGTGCATGAAACGCCATGGTTCAGGAAGCCAGCTAAGTCAGAGCTGCTGACAACGAAATTTTATTCTTAAAAGGTATTGCAAGTAGGTAGCACAGTGCTTAGTAACAATAAAGGGGCGACAGTGATAGTTCGGCGACAGAAGTTCATGGTCACGGAAATGCGGGCAGAATACGGGCGTCACGATGACTTTTGACCCAACCAGTTCTTGTAGGACAGTAGGCAGTGGTAAGTGCACAAAAATCACACATTAACGGCAAGTGACTGGATGTTGTAAATAGTGCAAATTGTTAAAAGGTCGAGTGAAGATGCAGGGAACGGGAGCTAAGGACGACTCACTTGAGTAAAATCCTCTTCTCAAAGACATTTCATTTTCAAACAGATTGGGCACCAGTTTGTAAACTATTGCCTGTAGCACGTGGTCCGATCGAATGGCATACTGCGGGCGTGTCTTGTGCAGAAGGGTGCCACAAACAGGACAAGTATTAAGTCTTTCTAAAAATTTGATGATGCAGGATTTGCAGAATGAGTGAAGACACTCTTCAATTGTTGTCGCATCGATCAGATAACCCTGACACAGTGCACATGTGAGCAGTGGATTTAAATCTCGAAGTGGAATATGAGCAACCTTGTGCATCGCTTATTGACGAGGTGTACGATGACCGCCGTAAACAACAGACTTTTAAGATTAACACTAAAACGCGCCAACTTTCAGGCTTCCAAAAGAGGAAATGATGCGCTAACTTTGCTCATTATGCACAGAGGGGTAGAATTATTAACATAAAACGACGTTCACAGCCAGTAAGTATCCTGAGAACAGGCGCCGGCAGCTACAGGAACAGACGACCTCAAGGCAAAATTGCCCCACTTCCCCGTGATTAATTAAAACTACGGCCTAGAACATTGTTGAAGGTCCTTATGGCCGTTAGCTCATGCCTTGATTAATCTGTAGCTAATTATTCAGAGGGAAACTCAATTGGCCAAACTCAAATTGAACAAGACTTTTTTGGAAGAAACCGAGGGAATGCTTTTAGGGGGGAGGTCAGGTCACGAACCGAGGTAATCGGCGGATATTTGTAATGGGGCTCAGGGATGTGCAGCCAACAGGGGTACCAGACGGTATTCAAAATGCACAATAGTCTGACCACATACATAGGTCCGGAAAGAAATGCCGGTATTATATCAGTGTCGCAACACTCTGATTCGCAGAGAATTATGGTGTTGCCAGATTGATACGGCATTGAAAATCTTTTGAAATTTCATAAAAGTGACGTAGTTCGCGGACGTATACACGAGCGCTTGGATCCTACATTCAAGAATTTTGGGCAAGTTGATCATGTAAAATCTTCTATTTCGGGAGCTTAGTTCAGCACCTTACGGAACCCGACCTTCGCAGAGAAGGTACGGAAGGCTTACCTGTCTTTGATTTGTTACTGAGGCCCCGCTGTGGATTTTGCAGAGGGGTTAATATGCGCAAGTATCCATATGCAATGACCGACAACTAAATGTTCCAAATTAAGCATTATGGAGACAGGATTGGTAGAATAGTATTTTCCCTGGTCGAGAGAGCGCTTACAGCTGAGGTAGTGGCGGCAACAATAGTTTCGCCACGCGAAATGGCCGTTGGTATTATTGTCGTTATTGTTATCTTTGCTGGTAGTTAGGCGAATATCCTAATATCCATTGGAGTCAGATGCTCGCCACGCAGGATGCGTTAGTCATACGCAGCGTAGATATTCAAATGCAATTGACTTTGCATGAACTAAGGTGGTACACGTAGACAGAAGAGCTGACGATTTGCGAGCAGATTACCACAGTAGCCCACAGTGAAAAAGAAAGATCGGAGTATCGAGTAAATTTGAAATGGCAGCGACAGAGGCATAAGAAATTCACTAGCAAGTTTCTTGAGCAGCCAGGATGGTCTCTTGTCCGGACATGGAGACTTCGCTATGTCAATGGCCTTAATTGCCTGTAGATATGATCTTCTTCAAGGAGGATGTTACTTATTAGTGAAGCAGGCAGGTCCTCTGAGGTTAGAAAAAAACTTGCTTAGTGCGTTTTTGTGTTGGAAAAACTGTGGAAGATGTTGCGTCCCCTCCTTTGTCTGGAATTTGAACGCCCTTTGGAGACTTTATCAATCACCTTGCGTCCTTGTTTGTTGTATCTCTTCGAAGATTGCTGCAGACTGATTTGAGATTAAACGTTGTTCAACGCAGCACATTTCGCTCGAGTTCACGAGGAGTTTTGCCTATCCTTACTCTCAGTTTTTTCCCGTGTCGTACTTTATGGGAATTATCTTACTGCAGTCTGCTTTGTCTGCAAATTTTTCTCCCCAGACTGTTCGTTAGCAATGCCTCATTCTTCTTCTGCCTTATATTCGACAATGAATAGGGGATGCTTGACCATATATAAAGTTTCGTTGGCCTATTACAAAAAATGTCGTCGTAGTCGGGATTGGACAAATTTGCTTTCATTTGGTTGCCGTCACCTCGCCACATGCTGTGCATTTTTAATGAAGTTGTCAGGGATTGGGAGTGAGAAATAATCCTTCACAAGCACTATATAGTTATTTTGGGCGGGTGTGTGCACGGACCACAACGACGATACGGATTATAGAGTTCTTAAATATATTGCCCCTTTGTATTTTTTACTCGGGTGCACAGAAAACTGTATGAGGTACGCATTTCCTGCCTTACATTAAAAGTTACGGTTCAAGAGTGGCTTTGGACAATGTGTGTGTATGGTGCTTTATTTGATTCCTAGCACTTCGGGGCCACCCAAAATCAAGATACTATTATGACTTAAAAAATCGTCCGATGTGACCGCATCACTTGGCTTGGCATGTTAACATATACGTAGTCTCATGTAAGCCAAGCAGTCGTTGTTCCACCTCCACACTTTCGATGATAGGGCGTTCGTTTTTCTCTAATGTGGAATTTCTGTATCGTTTGCCATTTATAGGCTTAACTTTTCGGTTTTGGCATTCCGGTGCGAGAACAATGTTATAACACTTGGTGTAACTTGTTCCTCACGTCTACCTCCCTCACGGGGATGGTGTTATGAGGGGTTGTATGGGTGGGGCCTCCAAAACGACCCAAAATACAGTAAAAAAAATGCACGATGGTTAAAAAATTGCATTTCCGCCAAATTGTGCTTCAGTGCATCAAAAACATCCCACAAATGACCCTGACATTGGTGAGACAGCCTATAGGGAGGGGCTATAGTGACGTACCGCCTCTTGCTCCACACTATTGTCGGACAGGAACGCAAATCGCACTAGTGCTAGCACACGCATTGGCGGTGGTACCAGTCCGGTTCGTAGTAGTTCTAGTATTACAACAAGTTACCGATAGTAGTGATGTTGGTGTTGGCGGAATCTGTAGTATTGACGGAATATCACTACCGTTACTAGCACCGGTAATAATAGTAATAGTGTATTTTAGGGTAATAGGTAAAGCCCTTCATGACCCTATTGAAAACGGTACATAAAATATAAATTTTAAATGCACATTTTACTAAAATGTTGTCAGTAACATATTTGTTCACGGAAAACGTTTTCACAGTGCGGGACTGCGAAATGTGCGGCAGGCGGTCTTTTCAGTGTACATAAGAAATTTTAAGTGCAGTTATATACAAGCAGCATAAAGCGCAGTCATTTGCATAGTTTGAGAGGGAAAATTTCATTAAAAGTCAGGGATGTGTTAAGTAGGGATGAAATCAAGAAATGAAATTTATGGCTGGTCGCAGATAGTCCTGTAGTGAGAGTCGTCGTTCATCAAAGACCAGACAATCCAGCTGCCTTTTGAAAACAGCCACTGTATCAGATGTCATTATTTCACTTGGGAGTGAGTTCCACGGTCGAACAACACGCTGGCTGAAGGAAAACTTCCGATTGTCTAGGCATGTACGCTCCCGCTTGACTTTGTACGGATGACCTCGCAGGCAACTCGTGGTCGGGAATTCAAAGAAGCCTTCAGTTTTGAACGAACATTCATGCCCATGGATAATGCGAAATGTCCATAACAGGTCATACCTCATTCGTCTATAGGATAGGAGGAACACATTTAACTGGATCAATCTTTCTGGGTATGACAGAGTCCTGAGACCGTCCACTAGTTTTGTGGCCCGTCGTGGCACCTGCTCTATGGCATTACTGTCTTTCTTCATCCAGGGCCTCCATGATGGCATTCCGTATTCCACGTGCGGACTGACGAACGTGCCGAATATCTGTGAGAAGAGTTCTGGAGAAAAGATTTTAAAGGCACACCTAATCCAGTGCATGATGCTGGTTGCCTTTTGGACGACTCTTTTGCCGTGCTGAGAGGGCAGCAAGTTTGAGCATGTCCAGACACCTAGGTCTTTGTGCGTGTCCACTTCTTTTAGTGGAACCCCATTTATGGTGTACTGATGTTTTGGGAAGCAGCTCCGACCAGATTCTAGTCGCAAGACTACACATTTGGATATGTTAAACGCTAGAAGCCACTTGCTAGACCACGCAACCAGCTTAGTAACATCTTCCTGTAGCTTCTGCGCGTCGTCAACGCAGCTGATTGTTTTCCAGATCTTTATATCATCTGCAAACATGATGCCATCGCATTCAAGGTCTGCAGGACAGTCATTTATATAGATGAGGAAGAGGAGAGGACTCAAGACTGAGTCCTGCGGATCGCCGCTTTTTACTGGCACCCATTCGGATGTAGTGGCACCAACGATCACTTTTTGGAGCCTGCATGACAGGAAACTTTTAATCCAATTAAAAATGCTGCCCTGTATTCCACACTCCCAAATCTTCTGTAGGAGTCGTCCATGAGGAACGCTGTCAAATGCCTTCTTAAAGTCAAAGAAGATGACGTCCACTGGACGGCCCTGGTCTATGGCTCTTGTCCACTTTTCCTGAGACTAAAGACTGTTTGTAAGACAAGAGTGACCACGACGAAATCCATGCTGAGCAGCACATAACAGGTCCCTCTGCTCCAGATACGACATTAGATGCCCTTTACCATTACCTTGCATAGAATGCAGGTTAATCTAATAGGACGGTAGTTTTCGGGTTCCAGTCTGGATCCTCCTTTATAGATTGGAGAAATATGGGCCGTTTTCCACTCCTCCGGCAGTTCGCCTTCTTCCATGGACTTCCGAAATATCATGGACACCGGCTCACAGAGTACATCAGCTAATTCTCGGAGGACAAGTGGATGAATTCCATCTGGACCAGGTGATTTGGCAGGTTTCAGCCGGCGTAGTTCGGTTCTTATCAACGTGTGTGAGAAGAAAAGATTGTCTTCCAATGCAGGGCAGGAAGGATTTGGTCGTTGGTCTACGTAAGCCATGGCAGGAGGGTTTGTGTCATGAGTGAATACCGACTGA